AAGCTGGCTCGCCCGAATCTGTCACGAAATACTCCTAGCCGTGGCTTAGAATGTTACCAGTCGGCAGGATAACACGATCTTCCTCTCAGGACGAAGTCAGACTGTAATGATCCCTTATAAACGTGGCCTCTATGGCATTCCGAGAAGCGCCTATTTCGGCCCGGTAGAACCGTAGTGCCGCAGGCCGGATTATGTGCGGCACGCGTAGACGAGGTGTCCGGTTTTGTGAGCCAATCAGGCTTCATGGGCCACGCAGGGATGCTAGCAGCTAGGCTACCAGACAGGCTCCAGTCTCGCAAGATCTCAGACCTCTCGTGGTCTGTTGATCTGCCAATCAGCTTGGCAGTTTCCACCTGGAAATCACAAATAACACCCGGGAATTTGTTCAGAAGGGTTTACTGGAAAAAAATACAGACCGGACGTTGGACCAAATGACCTCCGTGATGGGTGGAAAGAGGATAAGGGCGGAAGTAGGGAGGGAGAGGGAGGAGAGGTGGAAAAATGTTGAAAGGAATCCACCCAGACAACGGCAGAAGTCAGCAATCGGTAAAACACACGGTAGGACGGATGCGAAGTCAGATATGCTGAGTAGCCACCCAACTGGGATGATCGGCCTCGATGCCCTCAACGATCCGGTTCACTGAGGCGCACAAACTCTCGATCTGCGAGCTCAGGGAGGTCACCGTAGCATTTTGCTCTAAAAACGCAGGCAAAGTTACGAAATATGCTGTGGTGACGAACAATATACAATTACGGAAATCATATTTAATGAGGTGGGGAGGGTGGTTTCATGTGGTGAGGCAAACTGCTCCAGTCAAAAGACAGAACGATGTTTGGTAAGACAAATTTGGAATACCCAAGACGGCATCGTAACTAAGGTCCTGATGCCCATGCTCTTGCGCGTACGTATTTAGGGGGGAGGGGGATTTTTGCCGAGTTAATGAGCCGGATAAAAAGAAACTCACTTTCGAAGTGAATGAAACCGTCTATCTGATCGATTTGGGCAACGAGCCGACCTTCACCAATCATGTGGGCGGCAACTGTTTCAGCCTACAGGGAGGAGTAGAAAGGATTAATGGCAAACATGACTTAGGGAAAAGTGCCTGATAAACCAACAAAAATGTACAAATAAACTCTACCTTAAATATAACAGTAGCGAGACTGTTTCAAATAAAAATCTGCGTGTAAGATCATCAAGGAGGTATAACGAGATGAGGAAAGGGATGAATAAAAAAGGAGCTTATATAGATCAATGACGTGGCACTTGTCGACTAGCCGACTAGACGACGAATAAAAGTGTGGCCTCTCAAGTAAAGTGAAGGCCCACCCCCTTGGCTACTAAAACAGCAATGGTCGCATACTGACTGAGTAAAATGGATAGTATTAAGTATGGTGCTACCAACAGTCAGACGGGTGTTAGTAACAACAATAAATGGCTCCGGCACCAACGGACAGGCGTCAGCAAATAAAAGTGAACAAGATAGGGACCGAACCCTGGCGTCCTGGTAATCAGGGGAACACTACAATTTACACTAAGAGATAGGTCATAAATAAGCAGAATTGCCACGAGCGGACACAGGACTTCTTAGCTGTCCCTGAAGATAAACAGAGCGGGAACATGGAATTTGTGGTCTGTTTATGCAGACCAAGCATACCCGGCTGGCATCCACTTCCAGTAATTCACCCAGGTTGCTGAGACTGATGTTGTTATAGATAAGGCTGGCTGCTAGCATATTGTGCTCCACAGTAACGCGTTCCAGGATGTTCTGAATGGGTCTGGCGGACGCGGATGTAGTGGGTGCTTCACCGCCGGCACCGGGCGCCGCTGCTTCGGCCGCATCTTGCCCTCCAGCGTCCATAGGGGTGTTTTCATCGTTTTTGCCACCGAAGAAGAGCTGTGGGTAGTACTTGATGAAGAGCGGCTCAAGGCTCTGTAGACAGTTACGACTGATGAGTCGACGCATGTACCTGTGGGGGAATACAATTCAAATGAGGACTACGGCCGTTGGAGTTGACTGACCTCAGAACTCTCAGCCACAGACGTCGATAATTGGTTATGAGGTGGCGCATTCCACCAAGTTGTCAAATATATTGCTACTGAAACGAAATCAGTACCCTGTTTATAGTCATTTAGATTTGTGGTGAGGCGAAAGGATGTTTTAATACCTAGACCAGTAAAAGCCGGGCTATCAAGACGCACTGAACTAAAGTCATGGCACACTGAACGCATAAGATTCCTCCGCAGTCAAGTATATTAGACGCCGCTTAACAGGACTATTGATTAGTCGAGTCAAAGTATTATTCATGTGAAATTTTGGCATTTTGTACAAGCAGAGAACACACAATTTATATCATGAACTCTGGAGCCGGCTACAACAGCATTTGTGTCAACAAGATGAACAAATAACAAAAAGCGCTGCCTTCTCGTCCACCTACACTAAAAGCACTGGACAGAAAATGTTAATACAAGAAAGTGGGTACAGTCCAGTCCAAACCGACAAGGCTTACTATCTAGGTAAACTGAATGAAACAGTACACAGCTCTAGGGTAAGGTGATTCCATAATAGCATCAGAGGTATTAGTCAAAAGCCCTTACACGCGTGTTTCGCCGATATTCTGCTGCTGTATGACACAACTGCGAGGAGTTCGGCTCGTCAGTGGGTCCCCCTGCATTCCCTGTCTGCTTTCTGGTAGATACTCCAATTTAGAAATTGTAGCTTTATAGTTTTCTTATAAATTAACTGCGAACTTGAAGGTCTATAGGCTCAGACCTAAGTTTTTATGCATGAACATTTGGGCCGAAGTCTATCAGCCACAGCGGATAACCGCGTAATATCCATTAACTGCCGATCGGCAGCTAGTAGTATCCTTTAGGGACCCACTGACGAGCCGAACCCCTCGCAGCTGTGTCATGGTAGCGGCAGAATATAGGCGAAACACGCGTGTATGGGCTTTTGGCTAGTACTTGTGCTGCTTGTATGGAATCACCTCACCCTAAAGGATACTACTAGCTGCCTGTCGGCATTTAATGGATATTACGCGGTTATCCGCTGTGGCTGATGGACTTCGGCCCAAATATTCATACATAAAAACTTACGTCTAAGCTTATAGACCTTAAATATGCTGATCTACTCCAAGTTCACAGTTGATTCCTAAGGAAATTAAAAAGCTACAAGTACACAGCTTATCATTCGCCTCTAGGTTGCCATAAGGTCATAAAACAACTAACAATTAGGCACGTTCCACCGGAGCACTGTTTTCGCGCAACTCAGAACATCCAGCTACAAATGAACGGAAAAACCAGCCTCGCCGCAAAGTCGAGTACTCACATCTTCTCGAGGATTGGATAGGCCTGTAGGGACTGACAGCGTTCATCTTTGTAGAGCGTGGTCAGTAGACGAGCCCTCTGTTGACCTACACCGGCCAACAGGGCGGAGAGCAGAGCTCTTTCGAGAAATGCCATCTTCTCAGACTCCTTGAGCCAGGGGAAACGAATCGAGAGTTCGGCGTAGCGTTGGCCGGCCTCGAGGAACTTCTGTTTGAAGTCCAGAAGGCGTGCGTAAGCGGACTAGAAAGACAAAGCAGACAACTGCAGATTCCAGGGCTCCCCACGTGCATTAAAGGCCACTTATGGGTGTTCGTAAGAATACAGTGAACTCAGCTGGAAACGCTTGGAAAAACAGGTAGTCTATCTTTTATTTGTCCTAAGCATAGAAGTATTGAGCACTCCACCAAATTTTCTGCAGGAATGATGGTAAATTTTGGGAAAAAGTACTCGTCGTAATACAAAGTTTGTTGACTAATACCGGATCTAAAGCGTCCAGATGCCACTAATTGCGCCCCTTGGGCGACTCGATCTATTCAAACGTTGTTGTCACATCCCTGGGACATAGGTCCTTCTGAAGACAAATCGATGGAAACACACATCTATGCTTGGCTCTGGGATTAATAATTAATCAGCAGGTAGTGTGAGGAGTAGTCATCACCCAGCATCATGCAAGTCCGCCAAGTTGTCTGCCGAATTCGGCAATAAGGATGTTCCTTTAAACGTGAGAAACACTTGCCGTAGGACAATGTGGTAAAGCTGACGACAGAAGCCTGTACAGGCGACAATTGGCGGCAAAAGAAAACATCATTTTCTGGACTGAATCTACCAGCAAACCAAAATATCTGCGACATTAACTGAACGTTCTCTGGTGAGAATGAACCCTGAAAACTCAGAACACCGCAGTCCAACTTTGGCTCATGTCACGCGGTTATCGAGCTGCGTTGAGCTGGCGTGAGCAATTACCCACTCCCGTCCATCTCGCGCCACTCCAAGCATTGTGGCCAACCTCATCGTCCCCCAAATGGGGCGACGAGAGACAACAAGACCGATCTTCTCGTACGGACGGGGATGCAGATATTGCCTTTTTTAACAACTCAGTTGGGGACGGGAGGGAGCATGATTGATTCAACAAAGTGCTCAGTCAAGGGTGGAGTAGTGGTAGAATGCGGGACTAAACGTCCAATTCAACTTATTGATTACCTTTTTGTTATGACCCCGTCTGGTACTTTGAATTCAAATGGAGCGTATGCGCACTCGACTCTTATCCCTAATACCAACGCGGTAGAGAAGGAGAGCACGACCGGCCACGAAAAAGTGTATTAGAAAACTGCAAGTCCAATCTAACTGGAAAGTAATGCGTACTTATAACATCCTACTGTGGTTCGCCTGCATTCGGCCCGATGCACTTCGAAAAGAAAATTCTAAACGAGCTGATCGATGATTCGAAGACACGGATCGATCGGGCTCGAAGGGAGCAGCCAATGACGAGGCGCCACGATCATGATGACAGAGCGCTTGAGAAAACGCACGTGGTCTCCAATGACTGGTTGGCTCTTGTTTTTGGGAGTGTACGCACTCCCAACAGTACCCCAACTCAAAAATGATTCAGTGGGAAGAGACTGGGGAATACTAGGTGGTAGTTATCACCAAGGGGCCGGGATATGATACATAATTTGTGAGCATTCCAAGTAGCCCATTTGAGGGGAAATGGCGGGACCTAAAGCCACCCCTCCACTACAGATGGTTTGGAGGACTATTTCAGAGAGGGGGGTTAGTTAAAAGCCAGTCTAACTTCTTAATAGCCCTTTTCGATGAGTCCAGGAAGTCAGTTGCTCTTCCAGAATTGGGCCAGTTTATAATACATCCATCTGGTGTGTTTATTGACCATGTAGGGGAAATGGACCAACTCTCCAAACCTCCTGTCCCTACCTTGAACACGAGTTTCGAATTTACAAGCACCCAAGCCATTGCCTACGGAGAGGCGAAGTAGGTTATGAGGCACTGACGGTTTGTCGGTTTGACCCAATCGTCCTCTCTCAACTGCATGAACTCAAAAACTACTCAGATGGGCTTAGATGACGGTGTCTGCGACTGGAAGTGTAGATTCGGGTTGGGTAGATTCGTAACTACGCTACACCCCTCCCCTCCAGAATGGCATTTCCTGTGCTGGGCCAACTTTGGCTCATGTCATGCGGTATCGAGCTGCGTTGACTTGATGCGAGCCCTTATCAACTTCCACACATGACGATGGCACATGGAGGCGGAGCCCTTCACGCCATTCCAGACATTACGCTCGTTCTCATTACCAGGCCACGGAGTTGATAGTGCGTGAGGTATGGAATGGAGAGTGAGACTGGGCTTTCCATAGGTCCGAACATACGTACACTACTTATTTAACAGCACGAGGTAGGAGGAAGGATGCATGGATCATCATAACACCCGATAGCCGACTAAGTGGCAGAAAGCGAGATTGAGAGTTGTGCCGAGTGCGCAATTTTTATACTCGTGCCTAAGCGTGGTTCAGTAAAAAGACACGAGGGAAGATTGAGGGGTAGGTATCACCAACATGACAGATGGATGCTCACCGATCCAGTTACGGAACGTGCTTGTTCCGTTGTGCCTTGGGGTTCATACTAGAACCCCCACGGACAGTCGCACAGCGACTAGCACTAAACGTAAATGATATGGTATCCACAAGGGGAACCGGAATGGCCATTTCTGGCTTATTAGCCGTCATCAGCCAGTCATACCCAACCCCAAGTGTGGATCACTTGAGATTCGAACCCGGGATCTTTGGTCATGGAGTTTGACACTCTACAATTGAGCCACGGACCCGTTGTCGTGTCGGTTGTGATCGGGAATATCAATTATGAGAGCCTGCGAGGGTTCTAGTATATGCCCCAAGGCACAACGGGGCGAGCACGTTCCGCAACCTGATCGGTGAGCGTCCCGACCACAACCGACAGAACAACGGGCCCGTGGCTCAATGGTAGGGTGTCGAACTCCATGACCAAAGATCCCGGGTTCGAATCTCAAGTGATCCACGCTTGGGGTTGAGTATGACTGGCTGATGACGGCTAATAAGCGAGAAATGGACACTCCGGTCTCCCTTGTCTGTCGGCAGCATCTCATTTATATCACCAATATACAGGAGGACGATATGCTTAACTTTTAGGGATTCTCAACGATACGGCGGAGGACAAATGAAGCGGACATTTTGGCGGGGAAGAGGAGCAGGCAGACAGGGGTCGACTACGCTGTCCTCGTCGCATGTGTAAACGCAATGTGGGCACTGGAAGTAAAGTAAGCCGAATGGGGGGGGGGCTGAAGTCGTTCGTGGGGAAAGTAACCGAGGTTGAAACGGAAAAGACAACCTGATGTATGACAAATCTGCCGCGAGATTGAAGGAAGTCTAGAATCCCTGAAGAAGACCTGAATTGACAGGACACGCAGAGCAGCAATACCCCAAACCTAACTGTAACCTCAAAAGTAAACCTAAGCCTTAACGTCCTAACCCTAACCTTAATCCTGACCAAAATTCTAACCCTAGCCCATATCTTAACCATAACCCAAACCCCAGCCTCAACATTGAACGTAAACCCAAACCGCAATCTAAACCCCAACTCTAACCGGTCCCCTTGAACTTAACACAAACCCTAACCCTAAACTCTATTCTCAGCCTGTCATTAACCCAAATCCTAAAACTAATCCTATGTCCAAACCGAAACATCAGGTTGTCCTTTACTGTTTTAGCTTTGGCTGCTTTCCCACCAACGATTTTAGCATCTTCCTTCGGCTTACTTTACTTGCAATGCCCACATTGCGCTTATACTCAAGACCAGGACAGCGTAACCGACCCCCTACCGAGTAGTTATAAGTCAGTTCAACCGGGGGATGTGCTTGAAAATCCGGTTGGTAGTTAATGTTGAATAATTTCAGAACCCAGTCTGCCCTGACCCTACAACTGCCCATTGCAGGATTGATAAGTCAATAGTGTCTGGGCACCAAGTACGATATTGTATTGGAGCGGCGTTCACTTAGCCACCCTGATGAGAGGAATGAACAGGGAGTTGCGTTTTGCCTCAGGCTTCCCCTCCAGAGTCCCCGCGTCCGGAAAGCGATCAATAATCCGGCAGAGACTGGTTTACATGTTGCCCCCCCACCCCCAAAGGTTGTAGACCGCGGCTCCAAGACCGGACACAATGCCAGCACTCCGTCCGAGAGTTGGCATCGATGGCTGAGTGCCGCTGTCATGCGATTGTGAATTAATCAGATCGCAGCGGACAGGATGCGAACCCACGGCTGGCTCAATGACCTAATGAGCACCCCTCTCGTCTCACTCGGCTTTGCTAGAAATCCTTCAAAATACGAGGTTGCCTGCAGCCTTAATGCATCGAATAATTCATGAAACGTACACAAAAGATCTACAACAGGGACTTAACGAACCTTGAAACGCATTATCATGTGCTGATCCTGACATTCTGACTGTAAAAGTGAGGCGCGGTTGATGTAGAGCTCGGCTTGGGTGGGACAGCCCAGAGTCAAGTAGCATTCCACAATACGGAGGTAGACGTCGAGTTTGTAGAGTACTGAGTAGGATCTATTTTTGAAAAAAAAGAAAGAACAGCAGCCCATAAAAAGTAAAATGACAGAGGATACCGTTGGCCACTCTCCAGCGGTATGCCAGACAAGACTACGGCAGCCTCGCGAAGATCTCCGCTGTTTGAGAGCCGTCTGGCCAGCAAATCACGAAGCTCGGTGAGCTAAAAAAGAAGCAGGCTCAAAGAGTGCTGGTCAAAAGCTTGCCTGTGCTTCAAAGGCAATCACTCGTGACTGCATTCGAGAAAGGAGGATCTGAAACGCGGAAATTGCCATTTGATCGGATGGGGATTTGTCTATATAGGTGATAAGTTCGCCACAAATCTGGCGGGCAGAGATGACCGTGACCGCGTCCTGAGAGACTAAAATGTCCTAAGTAATGGAGGGCGGCACAACTAAAGAAAACTTACTGGCATTGGAAATCTTTGAAATGGCATGCAGTATGAACTCTTCAGGCCGGCCCTCGAAGGTCTTGAGGAGTCGGCCAAACCTTTAAGTGTGATGAAGCATTGTAGATGGAAGGAGGCATGTCAACTTACCGAGCCACCGCTTCCAGGGGCACCTTTTCGGTGATAATGGCGTCCAATTCGGAATTTATTTCCTCGCTGATATCCATCTGTAGAGGAAGAAATTAAGAAGTAAGCTGACAATTTCGGTAATTATTAAGGGTAGGGCTTGGCGGTAAGTGCCCAGGACATGCCTCTTTAGAATCAGTGCCGAAATTTCCATGAACAGAGTGGGCTTTTGACTAGTAACCCATGATGAGAGTACGGTAAGACCTTCTTCATTTAAGGGTTAAGTAATTTAAGGCCAATCAGTTGGCAGTCTTTACATGCCAAAACGAAAGAATCACGAAGTCACGCAAGAACACGGAGTGTAATAAGGCAGCACAATTCCTACCAACATATAGGAGCTGTGTCAAGTCATTAGACGTTGACCGAAATTCTGAAATGCGTTTCCGGCTCGAAAAGATTACTTAAGTAGGGTTGTAATATTAGATACCATGCAGCATAATCCTAAGATACATCAGTTAATTTGGCATACAGGCCTTTTAACTAACTTCTTTCCGGTCGCCTACAAAAACTACACCGTGTAAAAATGACTGCTTAAATAGCATGAAGTCTTCTTATTGACTTTCAACACCTTTATAAAATATGCATAAAAATACTCATTCTTTTACTCATTTGGTAGAAAATCACGTCTACTTGAAGGAGGGGGTTAATTTGGTTTCTAAAAAGTTTCTAATTATGCAATTTTTAAGACTATGAAATGCCAGTTCATAAAGCATCATATCTTTGCATTTACTAATTTTGTTTGTAGAGTTTACTATATGCCCCAAATTCACTGCTAGATTTTATGAACCTCATATGGTCTCCTCTCAGCAGCGTATTGAAATGTATGATTTTCCGTACACGCAAAATATACAGCTTGTAGTTTTGAAACCCTGAATGCAAGCGTAACGGCAGGCCGGGTTTGAAATTAATCGGAAACTAGAGAAGTTCTTTTTTAAACCGAATTAAACTCTTTCTTCGAGTATAAAATTTGAAGACGTAACCTTATACCAAATGAGTAGAACACTTAATATTTTATGCATGTTTTCTATGAAATATGTTTGAATTTATAAAGGCCTCCAAAGTCATTGAGAAAAATTTATAGCACGTAAGTAGTCATTTCCGCAGAATGTAGTTTTTGCAGGCGGCTGGAAAGAATTTAGCCCAAAGGCCGGCATTCTGATGTAACTGAAATATCTTAGGACTATGCTGCACGATAATTAGCACTACAACGCTACTTAAGTAATCATTTCGAGTCGAAACCGCATTTCAGAATCTTGATTAACATTCTACAAAATAGCACATTTACTGCACACTGAACTTCACCGTGGCGGCAGCTCTATCAGTGAAACAGGAAGAAGGAGTAGGCGCAACGAGTTCTTGTTTTCAAAATGCCTCAGGTTACCATCGAAATCTTCTTACTGCTTTAAGTGTGTAAACAGAAACATCTACATACCCAATCCTTAGCTGACGGCTAAAGCTTGGTCAGGTGATCGAAGAAATCGCCTACTGTGAGGACATGGACAGTTCGACCACCCAGCATTGTGGTTTTTTCAAATTACAGTGGAGATTTCGCCCTCATATGCACAACTCACTCTTCAGTACATACTCGTTGCGACACTGCACACACACACACACAAGCTGGTTACCAAGAAAGCAGTAGCAGTCTCGCCTACTTCGGGAACACAGACAGTGCGACTACCAAGCATTGCGGTTGTATTTTGTGATTACAGCAGAAATTTTGCCCTATTATGTACAACTCGTTTTTTCGTCCCCTTACCTAGCCCGGTACATACTCGTTGCGAAACTTAGCCTACCTGTAAACCTCCCCACACGCAAAATGGTGAAGGCTTTCGTAATTTAAGACAAAATCCACTAGCCCCAATTACACAGTCCCGCTGCGGATCGTACCACGTAGAATGCCTGTGTAAGTAAGTAGGTAGTAAGTATGCAGGGAACGGATGTGTTTCTTCAGCAAATTACGACATGATCTACCCTAAATAGAAAGTCCACATTCACCGTTGCCAGAAGACGGTGTGAAAATTGTATTATGAATTATTTAGACCATAAAAATGTAACTTCCTGCCGCATTTCGCCAAAAACTATTCTAGTTAAAAAGAACGTGCAGATATGCAGTCAACCTTCATCTCTTCACTTTCAACGGCTAACGCGATAAGAGTAAGAAGCGTGGTGCTTAATCTCGACACAAGTGGGACATATAGCAAATTAATATGAAACCATTCTTATTGAAGCCGGAATTAATAGCACAAAAACCCAGGACAGGTCTTTTACGCCCAGTATCTCATTGAATTTGTTTTAAAAATGATGCCCAGCCAACTTAGGATTCCGAGGCGCGGCCTTAAAAGAATCCTACGCAAGCGCAGGGACTTCAAGCAATGTGCTCGAAAAAAGAAGGCGCTCAGCGGTTAAATGGTTGTTCTATATCCTCGGAAAGGCATGTAGTAAAAGAGGACAGTTTTTGCTTTTGAAAATGCGGGCGGAACTACAACTGCCCTAATGAACTATAGCACGGTTTTAAACAGATTATTCCCGAGTACCGAACTAATTAATGTCACCAGTCTTCTCTACGAAACGCGAACAGTAAAGCAGATGCCGCAATGGAGTGTTTAACTTGTCGAAATGCTGGGGTGAAAATGAAAACTTGCGGCTGTGGACGGGCATTATATTTATATTTTAGCGAAAGCAAGAGTTGACTAAGTTGGACAGTAAACCGCTTGCCCACATTATAACAGGAAGTCGAGAAAGTATCAACGAAGTCAAACGCCCGCTAAAGAGAATTTTCGATGCAGGGCATCTACTGAGTTCTGTGAAATGACACATGTATCAAGAAGGAGTCGCGAAGCAACAAGGATTTATCAAGTTTAAAGGCAGTACAATGACATAGGCCAAAAACTGTGCCCTGAGTTTATCCCTAAATCAGTCCGCATGACTCCTAGGTCGGTAACAAAAAGTCAAGTTACTGTGCAGAGTGTGCAACTTCAATTAACCTGTTCCAAAACACATTGAATTTGGTCTACCCAGAGCAAATTTCGACTTCTGTAAGAATTCCCGGACTGGTAGTAAAACACTTCAAGCAACAACTAGGTAAACGAACGGAAGCCACCCTCAAAAAAGCAATTATAGGTATGCCCCTACGTGTTCACGCTAGACTCCATTGAAACATAAGGCGAAAAACGCGATATAGGTTTGTAAATAACTGGGGAATTGTTATCGAAACGCAAAAGGCTGACACTATCAATAACAGAAGAGGAATATAGACATCATGTAACACCAAAGATACCAGAAAGTTTCCCTGCACATAAATGGACTGTGAGTTGTTCGTATCAATCGGCCAGCGAATTCTAAAAGCATAGCGACATCCCACATTAGGAAACGAGGGGATAGGTCTCACTCGCACGGTTTAACTGGGCCGGTTCTAGGACCTGTTGCAGCTATGCGATCAGTGCCTTTTCCTGCACATGTAACAATTATTCCATGAAAATTACGCAGTCTAGCAGCGATGAGGCTATCTAGGTGCTAGAGTTGTGGAAGGCAGGCAAATCAAGGCAGTAGATGGCCACATGTTTCAGCAAATTTAGAACGACTGCTATAGAAGAGTTTGAACGATATAAAACAATAGGTGATCAACAGCAGACTCAGGTGCGAGATCACTCGTGGTCACTGTTTGTAAATCGTCCGGACCTTACAGTTTTGAAGCCTCAAGATGGGTTTTAAGAATTTGTCTGTGTTTCAAAAATAAAACCCAAATTGTAGTAGTTGAATTCAAGAACCAGATGTTCTTTGTTGAATTATAATGATTTTTTAATAGTCTGCGCTAGGGGGTGATTCAAATGAAATTAATGTTAGTGTTTTCTAGCCTGCCAGAAGCTAAATTCCAAAATAATAATGTAATGACTCATTGACGGCGCGCCGCTGATGATTTCTGAAAGCCGCACAACACCATGCTTCTCTCAACTAGCTGAATTGCCTGATCTCAAATGAGAACAACATGCTTGTCATTACCCTTAACGAAACACTGCTCTGGCTCGTTCTTATGAATCCCTGGAGTGCGAAATCTCATATCTCATCGACAACATAAAGGGACAAGTTGGAGTCGTATTGTTCACATATGCGAGGCCATCCGATCGGAGTAGGTGAATTTTCTTGTCTTTTTGAGTTTTGGCTAACTTAATTAAATTATGTTTCAACTTAAGTTGAGGCATAGCGCACACTGATTCAGCTCGATCCACCAGTGGGTCCACTTTTGACAAGCAGAACATGCATGCACATGCATAATATATCATTGTTGCTCAATAAGGCATAATGTGCATGAGTAATTTTCATAGACAAAAGCAAATTGAGATAAAATTCGGCCTCACGGAAGGAAAATGTGCTCGGGACGTAGTAATACCAGAATATGACGCAGTACTTTAAAATACACAAAATATTTAATAGGACCTCTCTGGAAGAACCTGTGGTGACACAGCAGCGACGCCTTGTGCGGTCAGAAAGTAGCGACTAACAAGAGCGTTGTGCAACGGTTTCGCTCTGTTTCGGCCCCTCCGCCCAAATATCAGCCTAGTAAAAACAAATGCGCATATTTCATAATCTTGTCAAGATTACCGTACACTTATTTTCCTCTAGACATCTACCTTTTAGCTGTGCTTTTCTTCTGTTTCTGACCGTAGCACATCCCAAAACCGAACGAGTTTTTTAAAATGGATTTAGGAGCTTCACGTGGACGCGGGCTCAGGATAGGTACAGTGCCCTTTTCTTTCTCAGTTTAGTTTATTGAGGGAAATAGGCATAAGCCTCTGAGTACCCTATTTGCAATGTAAAAAATGTGTGGTATACAGATGAATGTTCTGGGCTAAAATATTTAAAACACGGCCATAATGGTAGGTCAAAAAGAGAACGAGTTACAGTGGGTGAGCTCTACTTCTCATCGCTCTTGGTCATTTTGGAACATAAATATGCCAAGATTCTTTTTAAAACTTTGTATAGATGGTGACATCGCAACATCTGCGGGAAGGGAATCCCATGGTTTGACTACTCGAACAGAGAAGGGGAACTTCTGCACATCCAGCCGTGCCTGCTGAGTGCGCAGTTTTAACGGGTGACCTCGGAAGTTCGTCGTGGTAGCAAATTCAAAAAAGTCCTCGAAGGCCAGGCTGCAATCCAACCCCTTAACAATGCGGAAGGCTTGCAAGAGATCTCCGCGAAGTTGCCTGTAACTCAAAGGAAAGAGGTTCAGATTTACTAGGCGGGTTGCATAAGGAAAGGAGCTTTGATCCCTAACCATCTTCGTGGCTCTCCTCTGGACCCTTTCAAAGCAGTTTTGATCCTCAACAGCCCACGGCCTCCAAGCTTGTATGCCGTACTCTAAATGCGGCCGGACGAATGTTCCGAATGTCTTTGAGAAAGCATTTTCGTCAAAGTCCATAAACGTACGCTTGCTAGCGTACTGTACGGACATTGCGCTTTTTGCCACCCTCGAACAGTGGGCGGATGGTTTTAGGGAACTCGTCGTCAGCACACCAAGGTCCTTTTGTGCTTCGACCTCTTGTAGGGCTGCACCGCTCAGAAAGTAGTCTTTTGTGCTTGCGGATCTGGCTGTGTTGCCTAGGCAAAGTATGCTACATTTGGCAGCGTTGAACCGCAGGAGCCAACGGTTTGACCACTCCTCCAACTGATTCAGGTTCATCTGCAGTCTATCTTCGCCGGCAGGACCCCGAATGACACTCTGTATCTTCATGCCATCGGCAAACATTTCTACTTCGCAGTCTAAAACTCTTGCGACATCGTCCACGTAGATAAGGAACAAAATGGGTCCCAGTACTGAACCCTGGCGGACACCACTATCGTCCATAGCAGGGTCTGATTTTGCCGACCGATGCGCACAACCTGCCGTCGACCCAAAAGGAAGTTTTCAATCCATATTAGGAAGTTGCCACTGATCCCTATTTTTTTAAGTTTATGTAAGGGCCTCTGGTATGGCACAGTGTCGAACGCCTTCACGAAGTCGATGAAGGCTATGTGGACCGCGTGCCTGTCGTCAAGAGCTCGGGTCCAGCTAAGTGGCTTTCTGGATGCAAAAACGAGTGATGGTTCTCTTAAAGATCAAGGTCAAGGACAAGGCGCTCAGCTCAATTTCAAAGATAAGTGAAGCTGCGCATTTGCACTGATATTCCTAGGCAATTAATGCCCATATATTTACTTGGGTTCCTTTTAAAATACGCTTTTCACTGTCGAGTATAATTTCCCACAGTCCTGTTAGACAATCTGGTAAAGTAGCCGTATTTTGAGAAGCGCCTTCTTAGTGGCTCCGCGTCAGACCAACTCCTTCTATATGTTGTAGTATATCGACAGTAGTATTTGTTATTCTGTACGTTAGCAACGTTTTGATCCCCCTACTGCAACGGCGAACCTATCTAGTACCCTATAATGTCCCGAAGAACACGTGCAAAAAGACAAAAACTCCCGGTCTCACCGCCGCCTCTCAGTGGTAGAATCGTGGCCGGAGACACAGCTGGGGCCAGCATGTGTTCGCTAACTTCTCTGGATATGGTTAACTCAAAAATCCCGTTAATCCATGTAGAACCTATTGCCTCTTTAATCGTCCAAAAATATGCCTCTGCTAGTCGTAACAAAACATCAGCCGATTAAATACCTGAACAGTAGATATGTGGCGATATAAGCAGCATTTCAGAAAAAGCGACTGAGCAATCATTAAAAGTTATTGAAGTAATAAGCCCCGAAATGGAGGGGCGAATAAAACGCAAGCACATATCTGCTAAAGAGGGAGCGCAAATGTACCTACAAAGTTGTGGCTTGGGTTTCAGTGTCGCACAAGCTAAACGACTGCGCTCGCTCAGCCGTAACGCCCCGATACTAGTTGCTGGATATGATTAGCTGACAACGGCTAATAAGTCAGAAATGTCCGTTCCAGTCCCCCTTGTCTTTGTCGGTAAGAACATTCTGCCTATATCATGCGTCACTGTGCGGCTGATAGTTGGGCTCAGGGGAGAGCCCGGGAGACACAACGGAACGAGTGAATTCCGTAAGAAGGTTCGGTGAGCGCCCCACTACCACACTAGTTAATCTATTCTCCTTGACAGAAGTCGACTTTATCTTCTCGAGGAGGGTGATAATTAAAAAATGCTGCCGTAAATGGCGCTGATCAGTTTCGATGGATCTCACACAAATACAGTGAAGACTGAACAAGTTGAATTTGTCGAAAACCAACACCGACGTAATGACACCTTTTGTCAGTTTGAATAACGCTTCTTAACCAACATCTGCGGCCTTACCACGTCACGGCATAGTCAATTCGAAGGGAATTCGATTATTCTCGGTGCTGAGATCTCTAAACATAACAACGTGCCTTGTATACAAACACCCCTACTAACTCCGCCAGCAACCCCTCGTAGGCCTAAGCAGGTGTCCAATTGAAAGGCGAATCCGACTGCCGTCTCAGCCACTCGGACACCGGGTAAATCCAGTCCGTTTAAGAAATATTTAACTCCACATTCGTCTACAATTGCCTTAAACACCATGGCCTAAAACAAAGCGTGTTTCCAACTGCCCCAGACCTCATCTCGAAGCAGTTAAGTCGAATACGCCGACATTCCCGCCCTTAAACAGAATTCCTGGCCCAGATGGAAGCAGCGCGTACCCCACCCCGATCATTTTTCCTCTACAACAGTCTTTCCAATGCATTCCTCATGCCAGTGTCCATAGTGGATCGGTTAACTCACCCGTTCCTCAATTTGGCCCCGGTGGGAATAAGTCGCAGTATCCCGCCCGTGGATTTCCAACAGAAGATCAGCCAGCTAGCAAGAGGAATCAGTTGTCTTGCCCGTCATTTCCTCCCTTAAATCCTAATCCTCTTTATTCACGTCAGGATCTTTTGATGCCACAAAAATTTCGCAGAGCGGGATAGGTGTATCCGGACCCTATCTTCCATGGGCAGCCAATCACCGGACGACGCAGTCCACCTCCCTCGGAAATAAACAGACATTCCCCTTAAAACATTTGTTCTAAATGCCAAATCCTTGATAAATAAGATACCTTTGCTTCAGAATCTGGTGTTCGTCCATTGCCCACATATTGTCTTAGCAACTGAGACTTGGGGGCATTTGCAGCTACGCTAAGCAAACACGCTTCCACCGCAACTGCTAACTCCAAGTTGCTCTAAAAATAGGTTATCTTTACTCATTAACTGTGTCTATCGCCCTCCCAACGCCAACGAGAATTTTAATCGTTTGCTCTTACTGGCATTTCATGCCGCGGTGGACCTAAGCTTTAAGTACCAAACGGTTGCGAGTGACTTCAATCCTCCTGAAGTCCGCTGCTTACCGCCATCTGGCTCGGAAAAGTTAGAAAACATTCTTCACGCTGTGGATGTCGGCATGTGGAGTCAGGTTGTAGATTTTCCCACACGTGGATCGAGCATACCTGACCTGATATTTTGTGGAGGTTCCATGCCTTCGTCAGTGTCATCCCTAGGCCCATTAGGAGGCTCAGACCACAACAACATTTTGTCCCTAAAACACAGCTTCTTCTTCGATTTCCGATCACCACGCTTGACCGAATTATTAACACGCCTTCATTCCTACAGTTGGACTGACTTCTCACTAAGTTCGGATGTAAATGCTTGCACTGCTGAACTGTATAAAATTTTTAATTCGCTTATTTCCCATTTTGCCCCCCGTAGGAAGATAATTAATGCCGAGTATGAGGTTTTCCTACCCTCACCCTTTCGCCGTAGGTGACGAAGAGTTTCTCGTCGACTCCATCGTCATAACGACGATTCCGTTCTGCCCTCTGTCTATCCTATTTTTTGCGCAGGCTAAGACATTCTTGGAAGCTCACCTAGCCGAAGAGGCCCATTTCACCGGAAGCCGTTCGTTAAATGTCTCGAAACTTTTTTTTCTGAAAAGTGAGCACCCTGTCCTCCGAGACGCCTCCGCAAATCCTATAGTTTATGTCCAGTTGACCGCTGGTAGGTTCAATGCTTTCCTGTCCAAAACTTCTATTTTACAAACTCGACCTCTCCGTTTCCGACCCACCAGCTACAGATCGGGACAGTTCTCGAATCTATAACTTTGACTCTATAGGACGCGACTGTGGTGATTCGGCGTTTTCGTCAGTCTCGTAGAACTGGACCTGATGATGTCCCAGTTAGCATTCTTAAAGCGACCGTCATTTTCTCTCAAGCACCCCGAGGGCTATATAGAACATTTATTTGGGTGCGAAGACAGGAACTCGTGGCTGGAGAAAATGGGAAAACGCAATCAAAGGAGCCTAAAGTGACAGTCAGTCCTGATGGATCACTCGGGAGAGTAATTCCAATGCAGATAATTGAATTCAAGTGAGGATCCAATTAATTACCTAGGAAAGACAAAAACAAAGACAAAACAAAGAGTACCTAGGCCGCAAAAATTGCCTAGTTGTTCCGAGGTTATCTGAATTGAATGCAGTAAGACCTTACGATAGTGTCTCAGAGGATCTAAATTCTCATATAGTCTGTCAAGTCAAGTACCCCAACCTGACGTAGAAATAAAAGTCCTGAAAGCATTCCGGATCGGAAAGAAGAGTGATGATGAGATAGCAGCACTACCTTCTCGTCCTCTCAAAATAACAATGCAAAGCAGAGAACAGATCAAGTTGATCCCGTCTAAAAAGTCAACCTCAGAGACTCGCATAAACAGATTCCTTTTACAATCGGACTATTTGCAAACGGAACGGCTGAAAAGCTGGAAATTTGTCTCGGAATTAAAATCGAGACTAAATGTTGGCGAGCACAACCTGGTTATCCTCAAAGGGAAGGTAATCCACCAAAATATGATGTTTCACTCGAATCAGCCTGTAACACCAAGGACGGTGGCAGCTACTCAGCTAAACTTGACGCCATCATGGGACCAGCCATAAAAAGTTACACTGTAACCAAAATAATATAACAATATTTTGGTTGAGAAAACACATCATCAATAGAGCAGGCCTGTAAAAATTACGTTCACATCAACACAATAAGGCCCACAACGGAGGCAGCTATTAGGCTGACCGTCTGTGTCGGGGATGATATGTCAGAATGGGTGAATGTGACCAGTGGTGTGCCGCAAGGCGCAGTTCTGGGACTATTTCTCTTCATCCTTTACGTTAACGACAGCCTTCTGGAACTCGACTGCGGCAAAATAATCTTTGCAGACGACGTTAAGTTCTGGCAAGTCATTAAGGGTCCGAATGATCAGAGATAATCTGCACCGACTGCAAGCGTGGTCGAAGAAATAGCTTCTAGATTTCAATGTGGAGAAGTGTGCCGTGCTTCATCTGCGTCCAACCAACTCTCATTCAAATGAGAGCATGAGGACATATCACCTGAAAGATATAAGGCTCCCCGCAGAATCTTCACAGAAGGATCTCGGGGTTTGGATACAGAACAACCTGAAACCAACACTGCAGTGCCACAAGGCTGCAAAAAACGTCATGGGAGTGTTGCATGCAATAAAAAGGGCTTTCGTAAATTTTGACCAAGGCCTTTTTCGGAGAGTTTACGGCACATTTGTTCGGCCCCACTTAGAATATGGCATACAAACATGGCGGCCATGGCTGGTAAAGGACCAAGAATGCCTCGAACGGGTACAACGGCGTGCAACAAAGCTGGTAAACGGTCTAAAAAGCCATTCTTACACAGACAGACTGAATTGCCTTAATTTATTCCCTCTGTGTTACAGGCAGCAAAGAGGTGATCTTATCCTCGTCTACAAGATAATACATGGCCTTGAGTATGGACTTAAATTTGAGGACATGTTTCAGTGGCACCTTTCACCCAATCTTCGTGGTCACTCGATGAAGTTACGGACAACAATGTCCAGGCTGAATCTTCGTTCTGAATTTTTCACGCAGAGGGTAGTGGAGAAATGGAACGATCTCCCTCAGTCAGTCGTGGAGGCTACATCCCTGCAACTCTTCAAGAAACGCTTGGATGATTATTTGTTCCCCTGTTTTCCCTCGACAGTCTGAATTTGAATTAATACCCCGGTTCCCCACATATATTTTTCTCTGTGACGATGCTACTCAAATGAACCAAGTACTGTTTTAATAGTGAACATTTTTTGTTCGTGTACAGTTATTTCTAACGAGCTGACATGTAATCAATAGGGTTTTCAAAGGCTTTTCCTATTATCCTTACGAAATAATTTGAAAGCTAGTGGCTTCCCGACCACCTAAAGCGGACCGCATTGTTGATACTCATTTGTTTCAGCAGTCGAAAAAATTATCCAGTCGACCTAATGTCATGATCATTGGCGACTACAATTCACGAGGAACTGATTGAAACACTGCTCAGGCATCGTGTCCAAAACAGACCTTCGACTGCCGTTTGCCACACAAAATATTGTTAACAAAAATAATAATTTCATTCAGTGTGAGTTTGCTGTCATTTTCAACGAAAAATGAAGCAGGGATCGGACTTAAAAGGAATAAAATGTCTGAGGAGTAAAAACAGAAGATGGTGTCAGTGTATCGTTTAGATGGTTCAGGGAAATAAGCCACTGTCCGTGAAATGACCACAGTTCAGAAAAGGAGGGGTGGCACTGCATCGGATAATTTCAGTCTTCATTGATTCTCATAAAATTGGGACTGAATCAACCAGATTGCATGGGAGAACAGCTGCTCGCTGTCGACGAAAGAAATCATCCATAATGTTGCGGGCTGTATAGTCAAATTTCCTTCTTTCGTGAGTCGTATCGCTTCCTAGGATCCCTCATCAAAAGTGTTAATTTTTCGGTTATTCAGTCCATGCATCGCGCGCTCACAGAATGCGATCTATCAACGCTCTTGGTGGAACCTTCTGTATTTGCTATACACTAGTAGTCTGGTCGCATCTCCCTTGCCCCCTCTTCGACTGGATTCGGCTGAATGTAACGGATCGCATCTGGATTTCTATCGCCTCAAAACTGGTTTCCAATTCGTCACTTTAACATGAATGACTTCATCCCAAGATGATTCCCGGCTCGAACCTTTTGCTCAAGTCTGCATACAGGCCAGTCCTGCTTGACCCGCCTACTTACCCCTTCATGAAATCCGTCATAGAATGCCATATACAGTCCAGTCCTGCCTCTATATTATATTGTAAGGAGCGAGAGTTTTTTTCTCCTATAGTTCTAATTCAGTCATACTCATTTTGTTTTTGTTAGGAGTTTTTACTGCTCGCTCAGCATCCCTTGTAACATGCTACTTATTAAAAACTGTGAATTACGTATTCTTATAATTCTGTACACCTCGTCTAAAGTTCTTAACTTAATGTGAAACTTATTTTTATTTGCAATGATTGGATCCCCACGGGTCTTGAATAAAAATTATTTTTATTATTATTAATTTATTCCTGACTGCAGTTGAGTTCACTGAAAAAACCGACGATATTCGACAGTACGCGCCAGGGGAAAAACTCCTCCCACAACATTTCATGTTCCCAAAGAGAACAAGTAAAGGATAAATGACTTACTGCCCGTGTCTACTTTTTGCGAAGACTTCGGACCTCATAGACGGGGTTATCTGCAGCCCCCACACTTGGCCAATGTGACCATGTAGTGCTTATGCGGGATTATTCGTCATGCTCCGTTTTGCGTTCCCTTAACCAAGAAATACGTAATACACTGCGAGCCGACTTCAATCAGATACGGCAGATCTACCCGGACTCGAGTGGAGCTCAACGTTCAGGGGTAATGCTAACAATGTTTAGGAGTTGTTCAAGAATCGCCTTCTTCAGTTAGTCATCAAGCCCTACACTTTGGGAGTGTAAGGCAGAACAAGCTGCCTGGGTTGTTAAATAAAAACGTAAGCAAGAAAATTAACAGGAAGTATAAGTTGTGGAGAAAATACTGTTACTGGAGAAGTCGAACATTTCAGCAATTAAAAAAACACAGAGGAACAAACCGAGAATAATGATTCTTAAAACGCATCAGAAAATCGAGAAGAATTTGCTACGAAAAGAAACGCGAATCCCATTTTTTTTACAACCACGCCCAGAAGAATATAGAGGACAGCCATCAAGTTTTCTCGATAAAGACTACCGATGACTTTGAAGTGGCTTGTAGCTGGGATAGGGCTGCTTATTTTCACAGTCTTTTTAAAATCGGTTCACGGAAACGAGATAAGTGTTCCTCCCCCCTTTGTAGAAGAACTGTAGGCCAAAAACACAACTCAGGTAGCCTTTTCAGACTATCTTATCCGAAAAGGATCGGAGGCATAAAACAAACTGAAGTCACCAGAACCGACTGACATTCCACCCAAACCTCTCAGAAAACTTGCCAATGAACTTTTTATACCCCCTGTCGAAGGTCTTTCAGATGTCATTTGATACCAAAACTTTTCCTATCGTTTGGATACTGGCTCATATAACCCCATATAAAGGCAGTTGCAGGGTTTTGACGACAGATTACAGACCCATTAGCCTGCTGTGTATTCGTAATAAAGTAGCGAAGAGAATCACTAAGAGCGAATTGATGTAATTCCTAGAAGTACTCCATTTACAATCGAACTGCCAGCACGGGTCCCGAAAAGACATATTCCGTACGACAAACTCACTACAATCTCTCCAGAGCTGGACCCGAGCTCTTTAAGAATCACATCCTGCTGTGGTCGAACTTGGTGTTCGCTAGGAGGCATTGATAGGATAAATTTTTTCCTAATATACGCGGACGGTTGCGCAAAGGCTCTGAAATTCGGAACGGCAATGTTTTCTGACGACATGAATATGCGAGGGCTTAATCTGGGGCCATGCCGACGAGAATAAACTGCAGATGCACATAAACTGTCTGAAGGAGTGGACAAATCGGGGGCTCATGTGGTTTGACGTCGGTCCATGTGCCAAACCTCATTCGGACAATCCAGCCAGATCCGCCAGCACGGTGAGAGTCTACGAAACGTGGAAGCCGACAGGGATCTCGGCGTGCTGACAACAAAATCCTTAAAGCCGTCCACTTATTGATATAAAGTGGCAAAAGAGCAATGCTCTTGCTGCACGCCATTAAGTCAGTTTAGACTTTTGACGAAGACGAAATTTGCGAGATCTTCTGAGAATTCGTGTTGCAGCATCTGGATAAGACGGAACAAGCCTGGAGATAATGGACTGTTCAAAACAAAAATAGTATTGAAAAAGTCCAAAGAGGGACCGCAGAAGTAGTTAGAGCTCAGCGCCTGTTTCTCTGTGTAAGTCGACTAAAGATTTGAAGCTGTTTACTTCGAATTATAGACAACAGCACGGGGACCTCTTACATATGTTTTGTATAGAGAAGGGGTTTGATTACGGCCTGGCCCTTGGTGACATGTTGGAGTTTGCTACCCCGACCAACTTCCGTGGTCGCCCGTTTAAACTGTGCATTCAGCAGTCAAGACTGGATGGGCGGAAGTTCTCCTTCTCTGTCAGGGTGGTCAGAACATGGAATACCCTCCTCAGAGATTTTGTGATGCCATTGTAGAAAGAAAGCTTTAAAAGGAACCTTGACAGATTTGTGTTCCGAAATAAGTGAGAACGATCTGTGAGATCATAACGACCGACGAGCTTGGTCCTAGTTAAGAAAACTTAGATGAGGGAATCTTCGTAAAAACAGAAATGTGAAAGACCGTCGTTCTGCATGTAGAGCGCTCAATGACAAATTCTGTCAGCGGCCTGGATGGGTCTTGTGCGTTCTGTGTCCTCGATCTTTTCATTCCTAAAATTCCCACGGGAAAATATCTTCTGAGGGGAGGCTAGCGCTTATGATTTCAGTCAGACAATCTTCCCGTGAAAAGGACAGAAACCTGCCTATTTCGTGCCGAGTGATTCGATGACCCTTGGCATTCCCTCTGGCCAGCAAGATCGATGACCTCGGCGGTTGCTCAGAGTTGCACATTTATTCTTTGCTGCTCAATTTTCCCCTTATCTTCTCAGACATTATACGATTTTATATATGCGGTTCCACTCTGACAAGTAGCATAAGTCACTGCTCTCTACTGTGCTTGTTGCCTTCCCTTTTATCATTCTTTTCGCTCGCAGTTTTCTGTTGCAACTCGGACAATTCTTCGGTTTTTAAACTCTAAGGAATCGTTGCAGAAACGTCCCATGTCATCCGAAAGCCCACGGGTTACAGTTTTAGGATTTGAAATTCTCATCTGTTGAAATCCACAAGTTTTGATGCCAGAGTCTTAAGTGAACTAGCGGACTATCATGCGCATGTTTGCCCGCATTCACTCGTTGTTCTTGATCCTACCCTCAGTTTGAGACGTCAGTCGCGGCCCCAATGTTAGGTTTATGTTAAAACTGTGTAAAACCTAATATGAGAGCAGTGTATAACCAAAAACTGTAAGGGTTCTTAAAGAAATCGCGTGTCTTTTGCGCAGACAATTTGTAAAACAAATTTTTCTGAAATCCGACCTACCTTATATGAGTTGCCCAGGTTGCTTAGTGTTTCGGCTGCAGATTTATTACACTTTATTGGCCACATTCTCATACAATGCGACTATTGATCCTGTGTTTTTTACTCTCGTTTGTGTTACAAGTGCCCGGCATTGTCGACAATAAAAAATTTCCAAAGTCCCACGGCATCCCTGGTCGCGAAGTTAGCACACATGCACTGCATGTATGTTGTCCTTTTTTGAACTGAATCTCCAGGTCGACCACTTTTCATTTGCAAAGCAGGAGATTTATAACATGACATACTTGCTCTATAGGAATCATTCGGAAAATGCAACATCAATTTTCTTTTATACTGGAAACGAGGGCCGAATCGAACACTTTGCGGAGCATTCTGTACCTGTTATTCTCAATTAGGACTAAGTGTGTATCCTCATGTAGGGCTTCATCTTTGAGCTGGCAGCCAGTCTCTCCGCCGTAGTTATCTTTGCGGAACACCGATACTATGGATCATCTCTTCCATTTGGAAATGAGTCCTTCTCTGTACGTTTAAATGTACACCAAATTTGCTATGCAAAATATCCCGCCATTAAATGTTTCTGCGTTGTTTACGCCTTTAATCCTTGGAGCACTTTTCTCAGCATTTTAAACTTAGACATTTTAAAACCCAAACGTCCATGACAAATTATTTGTATAGTGTAGACTAATACGTGTTAATGGTCAATAACTTCTGTCTCCACGCTCTACATGTTAGCGTGAATAACTTTTTCTACTTCCGTTATTCTATGCCTTGAATTACCTAGCGGTATTTTATCTTATAGAAGTTTGCGTTTAAAATTTTCCTGCACTACTATTGCAGTTTTCAACGTTCCAATAGGACCGAAAGCGTTTCGGTTACCTGACGGCAGAACAGGCCCTAGCGGATTATGCCGAGTTTTTGACTGACTTCAAGTGTGCGAACCCAGAACTCATCGATGTGCCCGTTATATCTTTTGGTGGCTCCTATGGCGGGATGCTGACGGCGTGGTTCCGACAAAAATATCCTAACATCGTTGCAGGGTAATATAGAATGAGCCATTTTGATACCGCCTCTTTCGCCACAATTGTTTCATGATTATATTTGCCAGATTGCCCATTTTCGCGTCCCTATCGAAAAAAATCTAAGCGGTTTTTTTCCGTTGCCTCAAGGGTAGATTTGGTCGAGGCCTAAGGTGTAAACTCATGTAAGATCTTCAGAGGTGTATTGGCAGATTTCAAATAATTCACAATAAATAATAGTAATGCCTCGGTGGGATTCGAACCCACGGCAGCAAGGAGAGGTTTTAGTACAGCCAACGCTCTGCTTGAGATCAAATAGTACGGGCAGATAGTTACGTATTTCAAATTTTGACACTAAAGCCGTGTGTCTTCCTGACCACCCGTTATATCTTTTGTCTAGAAAGTAGATAAACACGACCATTCTGCGCGCGTCTACTCATGTCCCAGTTATCACAACCGCATTCCGGAGTTGATTTGGTTACTCTTCCTCATTCACCAGTTATGGCCTCTGCCGAGACGCCGAGTAGTTATTACTAAATATTTATCCCGACGTGTTATCGCTGGCACGATTATTGTCCAAGTCCTTTAGGATTATTGCCGTACGGTGACTTCTTAATTAATGACAATTCATGCGTTGCATTCCAGTACAAACTTGTACAGGCAGAAGGCTTTGGCTTTTGTTCAGTCCGATTTTTTCCGAGAGTTGAATTAATACTCCATGAATGTTTCCCCTTAGAGGGTTAGCTGCCTCAGCCCCTGTGTGGCTGTTCCCAGGAATGGCAGATTGCAACGGTTTTCTGCGCGTTACAACCGAGACGTATAGGCGTGCTGGTGGCGCTTCCTGCGTTGATATGGTCCGCATGACCTGGCCTCTTATCGACCAGATTGGGAGCACTCGTAAGAATTATGTGTTTGCGTTATTCAATAACCTTTTTTCTATAATTATCACCCTCTTGATAATAAAGTACGTGCAAGCTTTTAACTGGATCTACTAGTGCAAATTTTGCTCAGGCCTTTTCTTTCTTTATCTCTTAAAATAATGGGTTTAAATTGTTTGCCGTGAACGAGACTTCAAGCAGGAAAGAGAAATTATGCGACTTTATTATTCCATCTCCACGTTGGTCTGCAAATTAAATAACCGGGATTATACTCTAAACCACATGATGGACTGAACCGCCACAAGTTTCACCATGCAGCCGACGTTTCTAACTAGTATTGATGCACAAAGTTTGTTGTTGGTTTTTTTGTCGTGCTCGGTAGTATTTTCCTTGAAAGTTTATTTACAGGTTGAGGCCGATCATGATAGTCCCAGTTCTGAAAACACAACACTAAGTTCGTCTATTAATTTCAGAGGGAATTACAAATCTCACAGCACTGCTTTTTGTGTAAATGAGATCGTTTTCACTTGATGCCTTGCTGTCGTTCGTAGTCAGGCGCAAAAATCCTCGAATTCGATCAACAGTACGTAGCAGCGTGTAAAAGCATTACACCACCCAGTCGACTCTTGTAACTTGGAGGAAGGTCACCTCAAGGAGCAGCTTTTTGTTTCTTCCGCCTTAGTTCTCACTTCGGGGCAAGATCAAATGCGTGATGCATGAAAGAATAGGGGAGAAGAAATCGGCATCTCTTGAACGCTTTGCTCTTTGTCGCATTGTTAGATGCTCTTTCTGATCCAGCTTTCCTTTTACAGCAGAGGGATTGGAGGCCTTATCGCGTGTTTTCAAAACCTGCGCGCCGATCCCCAATGCCACTGCTCTCTATGACTTTGCAGAGGACTTTCTAATTACAATGGCGATGGCCAACTACCCGTATGAGAGCTCGTTTCTGGGACCACTGCCTGCCTGGCCCGTCACGGTAAGTTGTACTGCTGAGCAGACGCTCTCATAAATGAGACTGACATCTATGCCGTGATGCTGGGAGTCGAACTAGGGACTGCGAAACCTAGGTAGAGAAGATAGTCCGACTTACCCGACCCTTTCCCCTCCCCAGCTTCCTTCCCTGCTGATCCAGTTTGGTGGTGATTTGCGGCGACACTACTTAATAAACTCGCTAAGACTTACATGCTTTGACCATCTGTGGCTTGGACTTGGGTTCTTAACTCGGGGAAAAGGGAGGACGTCGGTTCTTCAAAAAGTTGCTGATCGAGATAGGTCTGATCGTTTTACATCGCCTTTACAGCGGACGACATAGCACTGCCAATTGACCGCATTTGCCAGGCATCCACGTTGGGTTTCATTATTTACTGTCATCGTAGCCCCTAAAAGATCCCTGGGGCACAACAATTAGTCAACACTCAGTCAACAATTAGTCAATTAGCACAACAATTACTCATGTCTTGCACTGCTGTTTGGTAGTTTTGTCAGGTAAAATATTTTTATTGGTTGGGTCAGATGGAAAAGACTGGGCAAAGTATTATGCCAACCCAAAAAGTTCGCCGTCATCTGTCGACCGCACCCAACTCCGAGATTTGCAACCCCCGGAGCTCATATCCGCGCTGTGTTGGTTAGGAGTTCAGCGCACTAACCATTGAGTCACGGGCCTGATATCATGTCGATTACGATCAGGGACAATAACTATGGTAGAATTACGTTGCCGACAAGGACAAGGGAGACCAGAGTGGCCATTTCTGGCCCATTAGTTGTCGTCAGCCAGTCATACCCAACCTCGAAGTGTGGAACACCTTGAGCTCGATCTCGCGACCTGTTGGTTAGAAGTCGGTGAGCGCCCTTTGCCACTGTATATTGCCGATCGCAATCGACAGGACAACGAGCCCGTGGCTCAGTGGTTAGGGATCGAGCCACAGGTGTTTCGCAGTTCGGGCTTGGGTATGACTGGCTGACGACGGCTAATAAGACAGAAATGGCCATTCCAGTCTCCCTTGTCTTTGTCGCTAATAAAATTCCGCCTATATCATGCGCCGCTGTGCGGCTGCTGGTTGGGCTCGAGAGAGAGCCCGCTAGACACAAGGTGAGCGCCCTCTACGATAGTAACTATAGTAGCGAGCCTCGCTGGTCGTGCTACGGCACCTAATCGTCCTGTCGTGCTTAGGGACTCGGTCTAGAGCGCCGTAGGCAGTCTCACAGCAGAAAGTTTCATGCAGAAAGTGTTACTCTAGGCACAACGGAACGAGTAGGTCCCATAACACCATCACCAAGCGTTATTTAGCATATTTATTATTATTATTCCCGGTCGCAACCGACAAGACAACAAGCCTGTGGCTCAGTGGTTAGGGACGTTGAACTTCTAACTGACACATCGCGGATTCGAGCTCCTCCCCCTGTTACGCACCGCGGGCATGACTGGCTGATGATGGCCTACAAGCCAGGAGTACCCGTCCCAGTTTCCTTTGTCGGGACTCCTTTCAGCACATCTGGTCTCTAGCATTGTGGGTGCCAGCCGATGATCCGATGAATTCTGACCGAAGTTTTGATGTTCGTTTCCATGCTACTTGGCCAATTTCGGTAACGTGTTTTGATGCTTTCACAATTTTGACACGCCATACGGACATTGACACTTACTAGCACTTACCAGACAGTTACATGCTTGCTGCATGTAAATATTTAGCCAAATTTATTTCCAGATTTCTTCATGTATTGGTGTTTTTCAACGTTATTATAACCAGCAGAGAGTCCAAAGACGTTCATCTATCTCTCTTTAAAAAAACTCCGGACTACGCCACCTCGGTCTCATTACCTACTTTCGGCTGGGCCTTGCTTGAGGTCTAGCCAAGATCCGACTTTTTTTCTTGAATGCGGTAGGTTTTTGTGCTGGAGATTACAGTACTGACTTCACCTCTCCTACAGGAATTCTGCAAGGCACTCGAGTCCTGCAGCCCGTCAGGACTGCTGCCGAGTCCCGTTGAGAAGTTCGCGTGTGCCCTCTTCTCCATGACAAATTACAATCGAACAGATGACTGCTTGTCTCTGGATGACGATGCGGAGGACATCGACGCCCATGGGTGGGAACTGCAGGTAAGTAGATTTTTGGAGGTTTTTTTTAGTGGGGTGACAAACACCTGCTGGAACCTGAGCCGAACAGCTCAGCAGCTGCAGCGCCGAACTTCAGTAAACCAAGCTCTGTTGCGTCCGGCCTCGAAACCTGGGCTTTTCCATCCTGAAGGTTAGACATAGCTGCCCAAGTGCGGCCTACAGATGGGTACTGCCCATCATGGTGTCCACCCTTATTGTAGCCTGGCGCATCGTGCGCGTGTGCGTGGCACGCGTAGACGGGTGGTTTATTCTGTTCAGCCACTGTTCCCACGCCCACCGCCTGTCATCTTGCCGCCGAAACAAGGTTGGTGGGAGAGGAGAGAGCGCGGTAGATGCTGCGCAAGTCTACCATTCTGCCACCAGGTTATCCAGAAGCCCGGTTAATTTATGACGCCAGCAAGTCAGTCCATCAACTGCACTGTCCTTACTGGGCAACTCAGGTAGTTCAGCCGTGTGCTGCACTGACCCGTAAATCGACCCCGACAAGTTCCAATGTCGTCTAACGTCGTCACTGACGACGGTTTTGCCACTGTTGTTATTGTGGGACGAGAGACTTCTCCTTAAAAAGTCGTGCTAACCGTAATCCTGGTGACTGTCGATAGACGCGACCGGGCGAATTCCAGGAAGCAGTTCAGAAGACGAAGATGCGATCACTGGAAGAAGAAATTTATTGGCCCGACGTTTCGGATTCTCACTCGAACACATCCTCAGAGACAGTCGCAGATAAGGGTAGTGGTGGCAGAAGGAGCGCAGTATTCATAGCTGCCGTGAGGCTGTGTGCATACTATAATTAGCAGCTCTCGCAATCATTGCTGAGGGTCGTAGTTGATGCGATAATGGCTTGTCAGTTCGCGTCCTTGTCCTAATGGCTGCGATTTCGTCATCTGTGTTGGATGCCGGCGTGACGAATGATCGACAATTTTGTCCGCTGTCACTGGGATTGTTGCTCGCCCGTGCCCTACCCACGTGATTAATTCCCCTGTCCAGGGGAAATCTCAGCGTAGGATATGGTAACGGGAGGTCACTACGCTTGTTGATGGATTACCTTGTTGAAATACTTCTTGAGCTGGTGACCCGTTTATATACAATCCATTTGCGCCGGATCGATGCCAAGCCATACCTGAGAGTACTTCTGCTACGCGTCCACTACTACTTTTTCGAAGTTCCTTGCACCGTCTACTGCCTGTGGTCGTTTTGACTGGTCCACAACTTATCCATTAAAAGAAACTTATAAACGCTGATCCCAGGTGTTGTGATGGAAGGAGAAGTTAAATCTATCTCTGGGGAAGGTGGTTTAATAATCAAACTTGTCACACTCATACTTGAGCGCATCCTCGGACATAGACAAAAGTGGGAAACGCAAGCTTTGTGTAAGTCTCTCTCGCTCACTACTGATAGGTCCATCATTCTGTATTCTCATTGGCCCTCCTTGCACAAGTAGTGTCTGACGACCTCGTGTGGCGCTGATAGGTCTATCCTACGATTGAACAAGTTGGCATCGGATTGCCAGGCTTCGATTGTCTCTCTCGCCTCGGCTCGGCGGAGTACTCAGGCACTGTCGGTGCCGAATTGATGGTTATTTTCGAGGCTGCGATGTCCGCGTAGTTTCGTGTAGCCAATTGCCTACAGCATAATAATGATCTGCGTAATCTACAACCTGTCTTACAGACGTGCATGGAAATGCCCACTCCAATCTGCGCAAACGGCGAGACGGACATGTTCAAACCACAGGCCTGGGACCCGCTAGATTTCTCCGACCGATGTGAGGCCAAATTCGGCGTTCGCCCTCGGATGAGCTGGGCGGATGTGAATTTTTGGGGCAAAAACTTGCACTCACTGACCAATGTTATCTTCAGGTGAGATGAGAGCTCTCCGGTGCATTTTTTGTCGTCAGACTTGCTCAGCTGATTGTGTTCAGTCACGGGCTGAGATTGATAAAACTTGATCTCGGATATTTTAGATAGGAGACCTTGTGAGAAGTCTGGTCCGAAGGGACAACCTTTAGCTCCATCAGCCCTCAGCGGATGGATTGTGCCGTCGTTTTAATTGTTACCTAATCTTCGGTAGACCATAGGAGAGTTAGATTCAAGTACGTTCGACACCTTCTCCGCCGTCCGTCTCACGAGCTAAGTGTCACTGACCCCGATCCGGCGCTGTCGTCTATCTTGAGGCGTCGAAAAGGGGACCAACTCATGACTGGATGCACTTCACCAAGACATGAAAGGGCTCTTGGACCCTCTGTAGTCGGTTGCCTTTCTGGAAGTGGTCGCAGTTCCTCACGCGTGTGGCGGCACAATTCTCAACCTCATCGGGGCCGGCTGGGTCGATCATGATCACTGTTGCACCAAGTACTAGTGAGATCCAGGTCTCACTGGAAATCCGTGGGCCCAAACTGCGTCGATAATAATTTGATGCCGTCCGAACCCCATCTGTGGGAGGTCAAAGACCTTGACGATGATAACGACAGATTCTTCTTATGATAAAGTCCTTAGGATAGGACCATGTTAGGTTTATGTTTCGTCTTGAACTGGGCCTCTGACTTAAAATAGGATTTCGGTTGACGCCCGCAAGGCATAAATGCTGTAGCCTGAGAGCTTCAGGCAACCAAAGAATCTTGTGTAGGTCATCGGTCAGTGCTAAACTTACTCATAACTAGAAGGGTTATGGCGTCGCAAACAACCGCGCTGCCGCTTTCCCGAGATCTTGCCTGTATAGGTTCGTAAACAATCGGTAAGGATGAGTTCTGTTCTGGAGATGGCTCAGCGCTGTATTTACCCGCGCAATGTCAGAGTGAGTGAAAGGTATTACAGCCCGTCTACGCGTGCCGTACACGTGCTCGTCCCAATGTTTTAGTGGTAGTTATACTTAAACGCATGTGGGTGGCTGTGTTCAGGCGGTTCATGATTGTAAGGGTTGGCAAGTTGGATCGACACTGCGGTAGATTCACACACACCTTAGACCATGCTAGTGCTCTTGGTTGGCCGACGATCATATCTGTGCACGAAGGTACAGTGCACGGTACGCCAAGCGCTGCGACTTGAAAGGCTGCCAACTGCCAGGATAACTCGGTCCTCCTCTTAAGAGAGAGAGAATCAGGCTGCAATAGAGCCCTTCTAATGCGGCCGTTATGACACTCTCACTGAAGGTGAGATTGAGCCCCCTCCCCCCCTCCCCGCTTTCCTTTTATGTGAAATCCCGGTCACTTTGTGCGCGGATCAGGAGTTGTGCTGAAACGCCTAAGCGCGGGTTCACACCATGCCAGCCACCCGAGCCCGAATCCGCCTGCCTTCACACCCAGACCCAGGTAAGAGAGGGAAGGAGCGAGTGCGATGGATGCGGCGAAAGCCCTCTATTACTGTAAACTGATTCACGCGCACGTCACTGTGTCTGCGCCGACCCTGCTATGGGGCATACGATGGACGTATTTGAAAACAACTATCGGACCGTCACATGTCATAAATTTGAGTGGACGCCCAACGAGTGGAGCAGATCAGGCATTCGTTTTTGGTAGTCGGCAAAGTAATGTAATCGGTGAAGGGGATTTCGCCTGTGTGAAACCAATTGCCGCAATTGCCACATCGCATCATCCACAACGTCTGGTATAGTAGTCGCCGAGGGCATACAAAGAGCACCAGTTACACCCCTGAATGGGCCTCAGAAGTAAACCTTCACCGTGGCAACCGGCAGTTCACGTTCCCTGTCAGATCAGACGAGAAGGTAACTCCGGTCACCTGAGAACTGACTGAATACAAGGCGGACATCGCCGCCCTCAGAGAAACTCGCTCTCCAACCAAGGACAGCTGAATGAAGTAGGCGTAGGATACGTCCTCTGGGGCGGCCATTTTAGGGAAGGACGACCGTGTGAAGGCGAAATTTCGAGTTCCAGGTGTATGCATAAGTGATGAAGAAGAGTCGAGCACTGGTACACTTTGTTTATTGTCCGGAGCTTTCAGACTCGTACAGGAGTCCATTGTCAAAGGTAGCAGCAGCAGCAGCAGAACAAAAGACAGTTATAAGGCGCGTAGGCCAATCATCGACCGACGGCGCAAGACTGGAGGTGTATAAAATCCTGGTCAGTGTGTGTTGTGGACCGGGGGAAGTGGTGGTACGCCTAGGTGCGGGTCCGGCCGTGCCAGCCACCTGCGTTTTCTTCCGCCTGTGGTATTCTCGACTTGGTCATGACCGGGGGTTTAGGTGGGGGAGTAGGTGAGAGTGCGTTAAATACTGTGCAAGTCTGCCTTAACTATAACTCACACAGAAGTCACCGTTCCTGCTCTCACCTTGCTGTGGTGCACACGGTAAACGTCGGTCGCGACGGTCAAACTGTCGGGGTGTGTGTTACTGGGCGGATACTAATAAGCGAGGAAAGAGCATAATGTTCGTTGAAAACAATCTGCACGACCATATATACTTTATAAGTTAATTCTATAATGAATGACCATTGTGTTGTATCATAAAACAAGGTATACTGGGGACCTTAATTTGGTTTTTCGCCAAACAGCCTCGGCCAGTCCCGATCCCCACGTGCTAATCTGTCTCACGCATTACCCCTCTGGTATCGAAGGGGTCTCTTCTTTTCTAAGCTGGAGTTTCCGTCTTTCAGTAATGGAGACTTGGACCCCTGGTCCGCATTCGGCGTTCTCGAGGGCAGTCAGGCTCCAAACGTGGATATCATTCGCATCGCCTTTGGAGCTCACCATCTGGATCTTCGAGGCAGCCACCCCAACGATACCTCCGAGGTTCAGTACGCCAGGGCCATGGAGAAGGTCATAATCGAAAAGTGGATCCGCGAGTGGCGTTCAGCTGAGAGAACACACTTTTCGGATCCCTGTGTAGGGTTTTGACGTGCGCGTTGGGGGGCGACTTGTCCTTCCAGTGCCTGCCGTAGGTGGCTCGCTGCACTCCCAATCACATTTTATACTACGTGTCAACCTCGACGTCCACAGGTTTTGGTTGTCTGACTTCATTTTAGTAGTCAGACGTTCATTCTGTGCTCCTTCAATTCCTGTGTACGAGACCTTTTGCGCTGACACCCGTTTTTATTGTTTTCTGTCTGCTTAAGTCCTCCCAGTTCGGACTTTCTCATCCAGTATTTTTTGCTTATAAATTTGATATGTCCTTACGCCTGTCCTATCCGTCAAGCCATATGGCGCTCTAGTTCAACGTGCGCCACCTTTTTCTATCCCTCCTTTCTATGGATGTGCATTTTTTAAACTTAGTCTGGAAGTTCGACTTCCGCTCTCTTACAAAAACAGCTCCGCCTGCCGTTTAGATTATTTTTTGCAGAACCACTCTTCATTAAAACTATGCATTTAACCGAATCGAGGAGTGTTTTGTACTTTTTTGACGAGCGGACTAGTGCGTCGTGGCAAGATCCCCTCATGCAGTTTTCGCCTACGTTTTTGCTACTCATTTTGACTCGGTAGTCTAGACTGCTGAACTAGAAATTTTATGCAGTTGCAGCCGAGATGCCTGTCGCAGGCTAGCATACAGTGGATGTGATAAGTCATGAAATGCCATGAGTCTCATAAGAAAATCCCTGTAGCGTAAAATTCGGCGACACTGTATCCCCTAAAGTCTTTCAGCAGTAAATAAACGATCATGCTTAAAAAGAAGGCATAGTTTGGCTCTTAACATTCACTGACGTAAAGGTAATAAATTCCCTCTGGAAACTAGAATTTCAGAAGATGCCTTTATTCCGGATTACTTAAATAAGACCGACTACAAGGGTGCATAAGGAGGGGGGGCGCATTTTTTAAACGGAGTCTGGAAGTTCGATATTCGCTTTCTTACTAAAACGGCTTTACCTGCCGTTTCGATTATTTTTGCAGAGCCAATCTTCATTAAACCTATGCATTCAACCGAATCGTGAAGGGCCTTTTACTTTTTCTGACGAAGGATTAATTTATCGCAGTAAGAACCCCCTCTTGTAGTTTTCGCCTACTTGGTTGCTACTCATTTTGACTGGGTAGTCCGGACTGCTGTACTAGACATTTTTGCGATTGCAGTCATGAAATATCATCACTTAAATCTGACCGGCTACAAGGGTGCGTAAGGAGGGGCAAATAACGAAGAATAATAATAAATGCAAAAATCAGGACTTTTTGACTGTTCGCTTGCATGTAGCACAGCAGAGAACCTGTCAAACATGGAGGTAGCCTGGTTGTCTATGGTGGATTATTCACTGTGATTGTTCAGCACAAAATCAGGTTTTACTTGCATTGAGAGATTCTTCGATCTTTAGGGGTGAGATCAGGGCTGTTGGCAGGAATAAAAATTTCTTCGGGGCCGCGTGCGGAGAGGTTGGCTGTTGTCTAAAAAGTTAAATCATAGTTTGGAGCGTTATCAGATTCATACCGCTTTCAAGAGGTTGACGGAGGCATTGTTGTGTTATTGTCGAAGATTGGTGCTGTTGCCGAAGACGCCCTTCGCAATACCGACAAGCGCCTTACTCTTGATGGCGCCTAGTTGATCATCAGACTGGCCGCTCTTCGAATTGGCTAGCCGTCCAAACCATCCACCGTCGGCAATCCTCAAAGTTTGCTGTTGGCCGGGTGTGCTCTCTTGTGAAGTTCTTTTTGCATATGGCCATCTGTGCTGGCTTCGTAGATTTAAAATAAGACTCCATCGCAGACATAGTCTTTCGAGATGAGCGTCTGTAATCAATGTATTTCTTATCAAACAAAAAATCCTTCAATAATTTTTCTACTTTAAAACGACCCGATCATGGCCTTTTTCTGGTGAAGTTCACACTCTTCCATTCTTTTCTTAATTATGTCCATATGGGCCACCGGCAGATGTTCCCGATGAATGGTCTCAATGGGCATATAATGATACCTTTTGTGGTGTATGACGAATAGGAGCGTCCTTCTGCTTACTTGTATGGCGTTTGGGTTCGCTACATATTTACCTTAATAATATTGAAAATATACTCTAGCGACACACATCGACAGTCCTTCAGCGGCAAATTTCCAAATCCGTTCGTAGCCGGCTGCAGATAAAAACTGTCCGGATATCTTTGTCGCACGGCATGAAACAGAAAAATGGCGGTATGTCGCGGTGAGCACCCCTCCACCATTGTATATTCCCGATCGAAACCGGCATGGCAACGGGCTCGTGGCCCAGTGGTTAGAGGCGTGGAATTCTAACTAGTAGTTCGCGAGTTCGAGCCTCGGGTGTTCCGCACTTCGGGGTTGGGTATGCTCGTCTGACGACGGCTAATAAGCCAGAAATGGCCATTCCAGTCTCCCTTGTCTTTGTCGGTAATTATATACTGCATACATATATGCTTGTTTACGTCTAGTTATTCTCGACGTTGTAAAACTAACTGCTGGCAAACAAGTTTATTACTAAGTATTATGATACAAAAAGCCACAAATTTGCAAAACAGCATTTTCAAGGTTGATTCCGCTCCTCGTCTTTTGTAAGACAGAGCGGGCTTTTGAAATTGAGCCGCCATTTTTCGTTTTTTCCCTCCAGTCACATGCATATTTATTAATTGCATACCCCAGTCTTTTTCCTTTGTTTTAATTTATCTATTCCTATGAGGTTGTCTTTACAGTACGTTAGCACCTTTTTAAAGGAGCTTAAACCCTGCGAAATTTCTGCATCGATTTTTCCGCCTCCTGATCATGACTCCAGTGGCTGCACTTTGCGGCCAATTTGTCGTTTCTGCGATTGTCCTGCGTTGGCGTTCTCACGCTCCCAAACGCAACGAACTTATCGTGCCAGCAGCAGTTACACTCTGACAACTTGTCCTGTTTCTCGTCCTTCCTCGCTGGCCTTCCCACGCTCGTATCAGCAAAGGCCAATTTTCCGAAAGCAACATCGCTGTGGATGGCAAGTTGCGCTTAAACGCCAGCCTAAAAACAAGTTGTCAATCCCGGGTTTTCTTTCGACTAACTGTCGATCGATATTTAACAAAGCCCATGATTTGGAATTACTTCTGTCAGCCAAAGAACATGGCAAAACAGGAGTAATTTGCCTTCAGGAGACGTGGCTGAATAGCCATATTGACTCGGAACTAATCACTCCCTCGACATTTTGTTGTTTTCGAAATGATAGAGCATCTCCAACAGGCAGTAGAGGTGGAGGAGTGGCCATTTTTGTCAATCAAGACTGGTGTATAAATTGTAAGCCCCTGTTTTCATATTCTGGTGATTTAATTGATGTAATTGCTGTTATCTGCAAGCCCCATTTGTTAAATAGCTTTAAGGGTATTATATTTGTCAGTATTTACATCCCCCCTTCCACAAATGAAGGCTCTTTGGGCCGTTTTTTGACTTCCTCACACAAAAACTTGCTTCATTATCCTCAGACCATCTTATTCTTTCGTGCGGTGATTTTAACCGTGTGAGTTTTCGGCCCATTACCCTTCTGGGTTTTGATGACCTTGTTTCATTCAATACACGGGCTGATGCCCCTCTTGATCACATCTTGACCAATTACCCAAAGCTTTTTTGTATAAAAAATAGAGCTCCACTCTCCGGGTCTGATCACTCAGTGCTACTAGGACTTCCAAAAGTCTATTCCACCTCTAAGCGTCAACTGCTTACAAAACCCGAGAGGAAAATTACTGTTCGAGACACATCCGTAGATAAGATCCACTTACTGCAGAGTTCAATTACTAGTACCATCCCAACTTTTCTAGCACTACCAAATGCTGAATTATGCTCTTATTATCTTACGCTATTTTTGAATCACATTTTTGATATTTGTTGTCCCCGTGAAACTGTGATGGTCAGGCCTGACAGAATCTCCTCACCATACCTCAAACACTTGAGACGTCTCAAAGAAACCTTCTACAAACTAGGTCAACGTGACAAGGTGAAGGATATCAATGTTTTAATAAAGAACGAAATTGCCAGACTTAACGGTTTATTCGTTAGTCAACTTTTTTCTACTTCATCCACCCCCTCCTCTCCTTTTCGTTCTGCTGAACTGTGGAGGAATCTCAAGCGTCTCACTGGTCAACGTAATATACTTGAACCCATTGACGTAGATTTAAACTCTTTAAATCGGAATTTTATCTGTACTTCTAACGACTCCACTTCTCGCCCAAACGAAATTTACCTACCACCATGTGACTTTACTCCTGTGACTGTGACAACAGTGGAACCCCATCTCAAAAAAATTCGCGGGTCAACGGCGGCTGGGCCGGACGGTGTCTCTCCTTTTCTCCTTAAGTCTTGCTGTTTGCAGATAGCTCCCGTCTTGACCCACCTTATTAATCTATCCTTCATAGAGTCCAAGATTCCTGACGCCTGGCGTACAGTAAGAATTACTCCAATCCCTAAAAAATCTTTAACTCTTGCTCCTAAATCTTTCCGTCCTATTGCCTGCTCTTCAGCACTCCTGAAACTTACTGAACGAGTTGCATTAGATTCCCTTAAGTACTCCTCCGTCAATTTTTCTGATCCTCTACAATTTGCATACAAGGCAAAGCGTAGCACCTTGGATGCTGTTGCTTTAGTTGTTCATTCAGCTTTGAGAGACTTAGACAAGGGATGCCGTGCATATGCATGTGCTTTTCTCGACTACTCATCCGCCTTCAACGCTATCCCGCGCCAACTCCTCCTGACCAAAGCAGCTGCGCGCGACACTCCGAGCTGGGTTGTCTCTTGGCTTAGAGATTATTTTTCCTCCCGCACTCAGTTTGTCCAGTCGGGAAAGAGAAAATCATCTATTCTTCCAAATAATTGTGGAGTTATACAAGGTTCCATCTTATCCCCTCATCTTTTCTCCCTATATACTGATGATTTGAGATCGCCAAACGACTGCCTGTATGTTAAGTATGCCGATGACATGGTCGTAGGCCACCCACTCAAAAACCTGGTTTAGATCA